CTCCACACGGAAAGAAAAGGAGATTGGAGCCCCCACACAACAGGCGTTGGTCTCCACACGGAAAGAAAAGGAGATTGCTCACAAAATGAGCATGTAAAGCAGCTGCAGAATAAACAGGAGCGAGCTCTCTCTGCAGTAAAACCGTTTGTGGAACTCCCCACTCCTGGAGAAAATTCCTCTTTGCAGGACTTCCACAACCGCTTGAAGCCACCCTTCTTCCAAGAAGCTTTGTGGTTTTCTCACTGCAAAGATGTTTTTTTGGTCTGATTTTAGCTTTTTATTTCAGCCTGGTTCTCTGCTGGTTGTGAGTCTGTCACTGTTTACCCATTCTTCAGATTTTTCTATTTTTAGTAGTATTGCTCATATTTAATTGTTCAATGTTTGGCTTTAAATGGCCACTTTGGACATTTCTATAAAGCAAAACTAGTGGTTTGCAATATTAATATTAAGTAATATTAATCACAATCAAAATAATAAATAGAGTTCGTATTAGGGTACACCAGAAAGGATACTGTGGAGTTAGAAAAGATAAATAAATTGAAATGGGCAAGGACTGGAACAACTTCTCCACAAGGGAAGGTCGCAACATCTGGGATAGCTTAGCTTAGAAAAAAGGGGAGGAAAAGAGGTGTGCAAAATGTATTTATTTATTTAAAACTTTTACATGCTGTCCCTTATGCATGGCATCTCGGGACGGCTTACAATCCTAAAAATCAGAGAATACAATAAAACAGTCCATACCAATATAATAAATGACACGTGGTCTGGAGAGAAAGGACAGGGAGATGTTTTTCTCCCTCTCTTGTCAGACAAGAATTCAGGGTCATGCTATGAAGCTGATCGGAAAAGGATTCAGGACAGATAAAAGGGAAGGCACCTCTTCGCACAGCGCATAGATAAGATATGGAATTCTCTTCCACAGAGCTGTGTGGTGGCGACAAATTTGGACGGCTCTGAGAAGAGATTGGACAAATTCGTGCAAGGAAGACTCTCAATGGCTCTTGGTCCCGAGACCTATTGCTACACCCAGGATCAGAGGCAGTGTGCCTGCGTACGCCAGTTGCTGGGGAACATGAGTAGGAGGATGCTAATAGGAGGAGGCAGCCGATTGGCCCCTGTGCAAACAGGAGGCTGGGCTGTGTTCCGATGCTACACAGTTCTTCCGTCCAGATTCAAGCCATGATTACATTGAGATTTTGGTCACTGTTAACTGAGGTTCTGATATAGCAGTTAACGGGGAGGGGTGGCAGGGGGAACCCTGAGCCTTTCCTGCTTGCTCTCAACTCGGGGGGTGGGGGGAGATCACTAAGTGTAAATATCCTCTAATTCAGCTGTTGTTGAAAAAGCCCTATTTCAGAAATTCAAACCCCTCACATTTTGCAACTCGCTGCATTTAAAAGGCGTGCAAACCCAACGCACAATGGAGGCACAGATCCCATGGGGGGGGGGGCATCGCCCGACACACGGGGAGCAATAGCTGCAACGTTTGTTTAAAATAAAGTAGGAGGTCAGCTCTTTCACCGGGCAGTTTCCAGGAGAAAGTGCTGATGGGCACATGTTTACAATTGTGCAAACACTGAATCCCAGGATTTAGAGTCCCCTTTGGAAGTGGTACTGTAAACAATCTTATCACCACGCTTTCTGAGCGCTACAGCTGAAAAAAATAGCTGCAGAGCTCTATCCTACCTTCCGCTCTTTCTGGTGCTCTTTTCCACATTCCAGCCTGGCCTTCTGGGTCCCCCCCCCCGCCCCACACACACACACACTCAGAGACCAATCCCGCACTGCCTCCCTACTGCTCAACAGGGTGAAAGGGCCCCGGGGTCGCCCTAAAATCCAGGAAGACAGCTGCTTCCTTCCACGACTGCAGGAAGCACACTGCATCTGTGCCAAAGCCGGGTACATCCAGTCCTCCACAGTGATGAAACAGATCGGGCTTTTCTTTTTTTAAATAAAAACATAACCATGCAAATATGCTCAAAAGACAAGAAAGGGATCACGAGGCAGCCGAGCAGCAGCAATGGATCATTGGTAAGGTTGCAGGCTTTGCGGTGTTGGGTAAGCCGCTGGTGTTCACGTAATCCACCATGTACCGTCCAGAACCCCTAATGTCTGGTTCTGGATACCAAATATGTAACGGGGCAGTGACCCTGCCAAGCAGGCAGCCAGAAACTAGTTTATCGCCACTGGGTTCCATTTTCAGCACTCAGGAGAGATTCAGTGCCCTGACTATCGCTTTATCTCTCCATCCAAAATACCTAAGAGACATCAGTCCACCTCGTCCTCTTGAAGAACTCAGGTCAGCTTTCCCAACCTGATGGCCTCCGTCCTTTCCCTTGCCTGATGTGAGGGACTCCAGCTCCCATGAACACAGTCAGAGTTCCAGGTTGCAGACGGCTGGGTGAGGCCCACTGGCATCGCTCCATTTTGCATCATCTTGCTAGCTCTGGAAGGACAGCCCCTGAGCTGGGGCTGCTGGCATTTCTGAGGGTTTCCCCACAGTTCCTTCTCCACAGTTATTTTAACTGAGAAGGAAAGCCTCGTTTCTCAAAAAGCTGCATTCTGTTTTTCTTCCCAAACCCTGCAACTGATTGGTATGAACCTGAAAGGGCAAATTTATCATCATCATTATCATCATCGCCGTCGCCGCCACTGCCGCCACCACTGTCATTTGTATGTCACCCCATAACATTAAGTTTTCCAAAAGCTTACAAAAGAGAACTGCAAAAACTGATTTAAAACAACAGTTTAGACCATAAAAATCAATAGCATTTATACAACCGTATAAAGACTCACAGCAAGCATAGAATTAAGATGCAGATGACGCAGGCCAGGTCCACATGCGCAATTTAAGGAAGCGCCAGTGGATACAGAAAGCTGCACCCTAGGCAGCGTGGCTGAGTCTCCCTGCAGGAGTGGCTCCCGATGGAGCCAGATCTGGCGGAGTGTTGCACGCACGTTCAGGTGCCGCAGGCTTTCCCCAACAGAAAGGGGAGGCGGGGGAGAGGAAGGGAGGGGAGCCAGCACACCCCGGCAGCCCTTCACACTTAACATGTGAACTGGAATAGTTGGCACACTAATTCTATTTCCAGAATTCGCCTTTCCTGGGCAGAAGATCTAGCTTAGTTTGCAAAGTTCAGACCCTGACCAACAAAACCCAGCCCAAGCGCTTCCATTTCTCACACCTCCCCAAATGTTCTTGCAGGACCATGCAGGCTTCCATTGGCGGGGGGGTGGGGCAGGCCAAGAGTCCAGCAAAGCCCCGCAACACACCGTCTGCAGAAGAGACTTCTCTCTTCGATGCCACCACCCACGCTTAGTTACCTGAGTCAGAAGGTGCACAGATGCTCTGCCAACTTTCAAAATGCTTCCTTGGGGAGCAGGAAGACAACCAGTGACACTCCCAGTCTGCACTGGCCAAGCAATCTGTCCGTCCGTCCTTCCTCGCAAAGAATACTGCTACATACTATGAGTCAAGAGTGGGCAACACGTGGCCCTCGAGATGGTCTAGCCTACAAGATCCACCAGTCTGAGCTGGCACAGCCAATGAGGAGGGTTGACACAAGTGGGAAGGCCACAAGTTGCCTGCCTCTGGCGTAAGCCAGATCCTCGGATAGGCTGCACAGGCAAATCTCCCTCTGCTGTCCCAAGGATCCTAATGGACTCATTTTTGACGGCTGGGTGGGTTTTTGTTATTCAACTGTTGTGGCTGAACAGAGAGTCAGAAGGCCTGGCTGATCAAAGGAATGATGGCTGCAAAACAACCAGGGAAGACTTGTCGATGTGGCTGTGCTAGCCTGGCCCCAGCTGCAGCCCCCCACCTCCTGCTGCCCTCGCAGCCCCCCCCCCCCGCCTTTCCGAGGGCTGCTTCTCTACAGTCAAGCTGCAGCCTCCCTCCAGTTGGCCTGGGCTCCCAAAGCCTCACCTACAAACCAGCTCTGCTCTGGGCCCACTGTTAAGGGGACTCAGTTAAGCCCCTCCAAGCCCACCCTGGGCCAGTCCCCCCGGGCCGCGCCGACCCTTCACCCCGGCCACAGTCCCGCCCGG